CATTGTAAAGGACATCTTTCAGAGTTACTTCAGGATTGGGTCTCTTCTCTCTTTACTGTTTGTTTAAATCCTGTTTTTCTGTCTTGACTATGGCGTGTTTTTCTAGCATCGTGCTGAAGAGTGTGAGCGCCTCCATTTGCACTGCTTGAACATGTGTGTCGCTGGTGTACCTACACTCGGCTGAACACACTCGGACTCAGTCTGAATAAGAGCAGGAAGGTTCAGTGGGTTCAGCAGCAGCCGGTGCTACACGAGAAGAAGAAAAAGTTCCCTGAACCTTCAGTGAGCTTTACAATATTTATGCTCTGTCAAAATGCATTCAGTTCTAGCAGCAAAGCAAAGAAACACACTCCTGCAGAATGTGTGAACCACAGACTGATGTGTGTCCTGCAGACAAAACACAGACACTCACACATACATCAGGTCTTCTGCTTCTGCAACATTTAGTTTTGAACAGTTGCAAATACAGTCCATGACATGTCTTCTTTATACTATTAAACACTTTTAATTTTAACACATTAACATCAAGTACACTGTTAGCTATACAGTCTATATACTACATGTACACAGACACCTGGGGACACCATGGATGAGTAGTTGTTGTTGTTAGATCATTTTTCTGGGCCACTGGAGTCAGTTTGGAAGACTCAGTTCAATACGTGTGCAGCAGCAGGTCAAACTGCTCACACTGCTGCCCTCATAGCAAAGTGTCTGCATGGACACCAAGTCTGGGCTGCATGAAAACATCTGCAGAGACTCTCACACACACACCTGTGCACTAGCGGATGAGGAAAGGTCAAATCATGCTTTCCACATGACCGATGTGGACTTCAGTTCTATTCTCATATTCATACCGGGTATTGCTTCTCGTATGAAATACAGAAAATGTCACTGGGCTCCTGTGGATGTGCTGAAAGACTTTCATTTTGCACTTCTTATAGGATACAGCAGCTGGTTACGGACTGGGCAGTAGCACCGTGGCACTGCTTATTCCTGAGGTCTGTAGTACAAGTGCAGCATTTCTGGGCTGCGTTCGGACACAGCAGGAAGCAGGTACAGATGAATGCACCTCCAAACTCCTGCAGCAGCAGCAGCTCAACTCTTTCAATATGAGTTCTAAAGGTGTGGATGGCAGAGGTTC